GTGTTTGGCTTAGGCTTGGACTTAGGCTTAGGCTTAGGCTTAGGCTTAGGCTTAGGCTTAGGCTTAGGCTTAGGCTTAGGCTTAGGCTTAGGCTTAGGCTTAGGTTCAGGCTGACCATTTCCATCCGTGGTAATCTCGATCACGAGATCGTCAAGACATCTAGTTGGTTCGAATCCCCAGCTGGAAAATCTTTTGCTTTTTAATTTTCAAATTGCTTTCACAAATTCTTACTACTATTCTTCTACTTTTTTATAGTTAGCACTTTAAAAAACACTTTTGACACGATTTGATAAAATTTATGTTTAAACTAAAGAAAAAAGCCTTCTTTTTTCATTCTTTCTTTTTGTTGCCATCCGAGATGGTGAGTTCTTCCATTTCAGGTTTTGGAATTATATACAGTATGGATTTTTTGTTAAAAATTTCATTAATATTTTCATTTCATTCATTAATATTCTGATTTTCAAACAATTTTCAGGCTTCTTTCACTGTATGCGATTACTGTACTTGCCCTTCTGATCGCTACAACATTTTTATTCAACCAATTGTCGTGTGAGGGAAATCGACGAGCACAGGCGAGAGTCTGGAAAAAGATCGCCCGAGCCATATTTTTATGAGAATGGTTTACCGAGGAGTTCAAGGTGAGCAAAAAGAAAGAAAGCAATTGTTAAAAGCTTACAAATATATTGATTTCACTCATAGAATATGCATTTTAGAAGATTTGATACAAGCGTTAGGGGGATAAATGAATGATATTGGGTTGTCCAGTTATGAATGCGCGTTTTTTACTATTTTGTAAATTTCTCAAGATACCGAAATCAAGAAAAAGATATATATGAGTATTATCCGAAAGCTGAAGATCTCCTCTACATTTTGATATAAAAAGTTTTTGAATCTTGTTCAGCTTTTGGGCAAATTGACTGCACAGAAGAAGAGGTGGACAAAAAAATGGAAGGGTGCCTTTGGATCAAGTTTTGGCTTCGCTCAAATTGAGTTAACCGTTTGATGTTTGGCCAATAGATATATCAATACAACTTTTTTAAAAATATAACAATTTCAGAGCATCTTTACTTTTCTTTTCTTTTCTGGGCGCTTACACCATAAAAATTGAGGAATAGCTAAGCTGAAATGAGTTTTTTTTCGGAAACGACCTCTCCCTTTGTGCAGTCAATTTCCCAAAAAGTTGAATGAATGCAAAAGCTTTTTTATTCCAAAATGTAGAGGAGATCTTTAGCTTTCGAATGATATATAACACCCATATACATCTGTTCGAAATCATGAGAAATTTACAAAATAGTAAAAACGCGCATTCATAACTGGACAACCCAATAATTGAATGATTCTCGAGTTCTGGATTCGAGTTTAAACTTGAACTTGAACTTGAACTTGAAAACTTAACTTGTAAAAGAGTTTTTAAAAGCTTTCAGACGTCTCTATCGATTGCACACACCGTCGAGTCGAATTCAGGCATCTCGAACATTTCATCGTTTGGAAAGAAACGTTCGCACACTATACAATGCATTGGGTTGGTGAAAAATAGGTTTCAAAATTGTTTCAAAATTTCAGCAAATCATCATAGCCTAATTAATGGTTATTAGAACAATTTTCTTTTGAATTTTCTTTTATTTTGTCATTTGTAAAAGCGAAAGACTTGAAAGACTTGATTTTCACTAATTTCTGCTATTTTAAAAGTATTGTGTAAGATACTGAATAGAAATCACATTAAACTATTGCATTGTAATTGCAATTTTCAAATTTAAAGACATCAAAGCACTCTAGTTGAATGATTATCGAGTTCTGGATTCGAGTTTAAACTTGAGAACTTGAGAGCTTGAGAACTTGAGAGCTTGAGAGCTTGAGAGCTTGAGAGCTGGAGAGCTTGAGAACTTGAGAGCAACTAGAGGAACTTAACTTGTAAAAGAATTTCAAAGTTTTGAGACGTCTCTATCGTTTGGCAGTAGTTTAGTAGAGTAGTTTCACTAGAATCAATTCAAGCTACAAAATGACTAAATGATAAAAAAAGTGGAAACACAATTATACTTCCATTTCTAGAATCAAAGAAGGGGCCGGTTTTGTCGAAATCATCCGGTCGTTTCTATCGAAAAATCGCCGGCTCGCCCACGCATCGGATATCGCCACAAGCAACGAGAAATGGTTTGGAGAAATTGGAGAAATTGGAGAAATTGGAGAAATTAGAGAAATTAGAGAAATTGGAGAAAATTTAGTAAAACAAATGAATCTAAACTGCACTTTGAAAACTTTATACAATTTCTTTTCACTTTCCAGTAATTTAACTTTCAAGAAAGAAGTAGTACCCATTTGGCTAAGCCAAATGATTCCTAAACTGACTAAAAAGTCATCCTTTCTATAGCAAAACTTGCCATTTTTATCGAACTTTCGCTCTTTCCCTCAAAAAAAGTTAAAAAAGTTAGTTTTAATTGTAACTTACTCCAGCGTTTTGGTTAAAATTGTATTTTGAAAATTTTCCACATTATAAATAAGCACAATCAATCCTAAATAAGCAAGTAAACCAAGATGAACTTATCAGGCTTACCAGGCAACAATTAAACGCTTTCTCTCTGAATACTCTTTCTAGACTGAATACCCTAATTTAGACTAAATACCGTAATCTAGCTATCCTAGACCGAATATCCTATTCTAGCTTCAATAATGTAATCCAGACGGTCTAGACTGAATGCTCTATTAAGACGGAATAATCTCTAATCTTGACTAAATCCGTAATCTGCTTATCCTAGACTGAATATCCTTACCAGCTTCAGTCACCGTATCCAGACAGTCTGACAGATCAACTCTTTCCGGATTACAACGCTTTCTCCTGCTTTTACTTATTCAATTTTGAAACTTGTGATTTTAGATCAAAAACAAATAAAGCCAAAATTTATAACTTTGTAAACTCATTACTAGTTTAATTAATTAAAAATAAAGCCCAAATAAAAACATTAAACATTCCTATATTTTCTCTAATAAAATAGCCATAAAACAAATAGAAAAGCGCAAATTGCATACTTTTCTCTTTTCTTTCACCCCATCAACTTGCCAAGAGTCGATTTAAAAGAAGCAATTCAACTAAAATCAGTATAAACCTTAATAAATCAGCTCATTAAATCATATTTTTTTCAGATACAACTCTTTACGGACCTTTCACGTACTCTGAAGAGCAACACAATACCCGAGTAAACTGAAAGAAACGGAGAGATGTATGTGATTTTAAAGCCTTAAAAGACGATTAGTCAATTGATATTTTAAGAGGCTTATTTGAGACTTATATAGGAATCCCAATTTAGAACTTAGAAATCAATTTCATATTTCTTATTTACTCAAAAATCAATTTTCAAACGATTTCAAACGATTTTCAGTGTTCCAAGACTCACGCGACTACGCGCGAACGATGGGCCGGACGACGATGCGAACAAAGGTTTTTAAAGGACAAAAAAATAGCTGATAGAAAACTGAGAATTTCAAGATATAAAGATATTAGGTTGTTTGGATATAAACGAGCGTTTGCACTGCTTAACTCGTGAGGAAGCCATTTCCCGCATTTGATCGCCTTCCCAATGGCGTGGAGATGCTCATCAATGGTAGAATTTGAATATAGAAACTGTTGAGCAAGTTCATGCGTCGTTTGACATGGATCCGATTCGATTGCAGCCCTCAAAATATCGTTGTCTACCGCTAGAGGTGTCTACCGCTTGAGGTCGACGAGAGTGTTCATGATCCTCGAGACTTTCATCACCGTTCCGAAAGCGTTGAAACCAGGCTCGGCATCGGCTTTCGAAAAATACATCATTCCCAAATGCTGAAAACTAAATCTCGATGGGGATTCCGCGACTGTTTTGGCCCAGTTTTGGGGAAGTCGTAAAGTAGGCAGACCTGGGCTTTGATGTTTCGAAATCGGTCATCTAAAGCAAGAAAAAAAGATCTTAAAAATAAGAAATTATCCGTTTAAAAAGATTCCAAATATACACAAGATAACGTACTTTTAAATACAGAAAGACATGATTTAAAAGCTTCCCTCACAACCTCACAACAATAAATTTAGTAACGCTTGTTTATATCCGTTAACAACTAATAATTTACAATTAATGAGAAGCCTAAAATGTTTAATAGTTGACTATTTCTAGATCTATTCGGATATTGATGCGACGACGCCAATGCCGAAAAAATCGAAGCACGATAACAGGGGACAACAATTGGGAAAAAAGGGGATGGAGAGACGACGGCGACGGTAAGAAGGAAAATGGGGAGTTTTTTTTAGACCCCAAATCTTTTCTGCTTACGAGTATTATATATACCAAATTCATACACAGGTATAGACTTAGTGTTTATGGTATAGCTAAACTCTCTCTCTCTCTCTCTTTAATCCCACGTTCGTACCTTGGCTTATCTTGAAGGCTAGACTCTTTCCAGCGGACTGAGGAGAGCTCATGTATAATACTGTGCACCACCGACCTTATTAGTATTGTCCTGCAATTTGGAGTTAGAATTGGAATTAGATAGGTAAAGACAAAATCAGAATTATTCGGACAAAATTATACAAGATGTTCAGTATTTACGGCGATTTCTTTTTTTAATTAGCTCTCAAGCGTCAAGTTCAACCCTAATGTGTTATGTTTTATATAAAAGATTGAAGCTCTTTCTCTTGACTACATTTATCTATTAAAGTTTCCCCGGTGTGAAATTGTGCAACTTATTTACAAGCTCTCGAATGAGCTCAAGCCGGCTTCTCTCCGATCTGCCATTTTTGATATTCTTTTCTTGACTATCTTGGCTACATTCTTGACTATTTTGACTACATTCTTGATTATCTTGACTACATTCTTGACTATCTTGGCTACATTCTTGACTACATCTCTTAAAAGTTTTCCCGGATTGAAGATATACAACGAATTTAACAAGCCCTATGAAGAAGTAGATGTTTGGAAGGGTTGTTGACATTTTGTCCCCATAATTGTGGCCATCCTCTCCCAGTGTGCTGCCATTTTTGTGCGATTTCTTCATAATTCTTCAATCAATCAAGAGTTTCTTTTTACGGCGAAATTTGTGGCATTTTATCTAAAAATGATTTCCAACCAATATAACAAGGAGCACATATGAAATAAACCGAAAAATACTCAATTTTTTACTTTTTTTTCCTTTCGCCACAAAAGGAATTCGCGTTCAAGTGAAAATTAAAGAAGACGATTTGCTCAAAAATAGTTCTTAATGCTATTAAATGAGGTGTTAAATCTTTATTCTAGCATAAAATAGCTTTTTCTTGCCAAACTTTTGAGCACAAGGTACATTCAACGAAAGGTACAATCGATCACAATCCACAAGGTACAACAATCCAACTAAACCGCCAACAATCCAACTAAACTACCAACAATCCAACATTTCTACCTTGAGCACTTTGAAACACAAGATTTTCAGGCGCCCTCTCTCCAGCAACAAGTCGAACCATCGCAAATGAAAGGGAGAAAGACGAAGCAAACCTGCAAATTAACAACAACTAAAGTTGCGGCGGAACCACCGAGAGCTCAACCACGACTCAAACAACGCAACAAGTTCGTGAAAAATCCTGTTAAAAGGCAGAAATTATGGCAAATTCGATCGTAGTTGTTAAAATTGAAAAATTGAATTTAAAGGTTTCAAATTTAATGATGTAATAACATAAAAGCGTAAATCAATCCTGGTAAAGAATTTCTTAATGTTAAAGAAAAAAACTTGCATTTTGCAAGTTTCAAGTTTTTGTTTTTGACATGGATTTGATCTTGCAGCTTTCATTATTACGTCAATTTAGCGGTACTTCTGCTGTTTGCCCCCTAACATCCGGGAGATTTTTCTATCAAAGATTATGCTCTTTCCCTGTTAGTTTCGTCCATTTGTTCTTAAAATTTTAGATTTTTGAAAATTTCCTCAACTTCCGTAAAAACTAATAGAAGCTCTCCTATAGAAGCTCTCCTATAGAAGCTCTCCTATAGAAGCTCTCTATAGAAGCTCTCCTATAGAAGCTCTCCTATAGAAGCTCTCCTATAGAAGCTCTCCTATAGAAGCTCTCCTATAGAAGCTCTCCTATAGAAGCTCTCCTATAGAAGCTCTCCTATAGAAGCTCTCCTATAGAAGCTCTCCTATAGAAGCTCTCCTATAGAAGCTCTCCTATAGAAGCTCTCCTATAGAAGCTCTCCTATAGAAGCGTCGCGTAGTCTAAGTTTACTCTCAAACAAACGCTCATTTCTCGACATTAGTACTTCTGTTTTTCTGCGCTTAGATATCAAATTAAAGTAGAGAAAATAGGTGATTTTTTGAGATATAACACATATTTCTAGCATCAACCAGCGCTTAGAAGCAAATTATTAAAAATTGGCTTTTTTGCCACTTTTTAATCATCAATCATTTATATCTGTGTTAATGCTAAAAATATGTGTTCTTTTGTCTCTGATATTGTAGAGCTTGTTTATAGAGTTGCCTTTACAACATTGTAAAGCTTGTTTATAAAGTTGGCTTTACAACATTGCAAAGCTTGTTTATAAAGTTGCCTTTACAACATTGCAAAGCTTACTAAAGTATTGTTTGTTTTATTTGTTTTATTTGTTTTATATTTGTATTCGTATTTTGTTTTAATCTTTTCTTTTTCAGCCTTTCACCATTCCACCTCCGTGGCATGCTCCGCAATTTGCCGCTTTGCCTTTTCAATCGGCGGTGAGTTCTCTTGGCTTTGATATTGTAAAGCTTGCGAACCTTTACGGTTAACGGCGGCGGTAGCGATTATCGGTGGGGGCCAAGTTTTTGACCAACTTACAGCCCGATTTTATATAAGTTTATGTTAATAACTTCTGATAAAATAAATATTTTCTGAAACGGACGTTCTAAGCAATCTAAATCTTATTAAAACTTCCTGATCTGACAAGTTTAAGGTGCTTTAAAATGATCTGCAAGTTGGCCAAAAAATTGACCTCCGCCGATAATCGCTACCCCCTGTCGTTAACCGTAAAAATCCAAGCTAGCTTGTAAAAGCTATTTGTAAAAGTACTCTTTACAGCATTGTAAAGCCCAGTAAAATTAAATCAAAGAGTATTCAGGGATAAGACTGGAATAGTTAGTTTAAAAATTTAAAATCGAAGATATGAATTAACGTGTTCTTTTGAAATTTTTAATACGAACTTTGAAAAACACTTTTTCTAGCAAATCACTTTCGCTTGTTTTAGCTAAAATAGGCTTAACAAAGTTGAAAACTGCTTTTCTTTTGTCAAAACCAGTTTGCAAATATTGTAAGTGTTTTTGAAATTTTTGAAAATTAAGAGCCTTTTTCTTTCAGCAATCGCCTCTCCCGAAAAACAAATCCCAGCATCCCGATTTTGCTCTCTTTCAACAGGTTTTGCTTTCCTAAATTCTTTTTGACTAGATTTATAAAATGAAAAAAACTTTGTACTTGTACTAGAACTTGTAATCATTGGAGAGACAACTAAAGAGAGACTTTTTATAAGCCTTATTTAAGCATTTTGAAACACTCAAATTTTTAGCAGAGTCGAAGTTCAATGTTCCACCACCCCAGCCACAGTCACCACACCCAATTCCCCAGGACCGCTCACCAGATTTCAGGTTTATCTTTTTTAAAAAGTGCCTAGATTCATTTTGAAAGACTCTTTGGCTATCAAATATTACAGTTTCAGATTTTAAAAATTGCCTTTTCCAGCAATTCGCTCAACCAAGCCCGGCCGCCGAAGTGCCGCCGTTCTTCTATCCCGCAACCACCGCGGGCACAGGTTTTCAATTCCGAAAATTTATTCACAAAAAGCTTTACCTTTTGAAAATGATCATCATGTAATGATCAATAGGAAGTGAATAAAATTACGAAAAAACATTTAAAAAACATAGTTTTTGATGTTCACCCGAATGGTTTAGTTTGTGAGCTTGAACAATCAAGTATTGCTTTTGCTAGTTGCTGAATTTTGAGTTATAGAGGAAATTTAAATAACAATTTCCTTGATAAATTTTGAAAAGAAAGTCAAAGCGTTACTTCAAGACTACTAAAGTATGAAAAATGAAATAAAGCTTAAAAAGTTAAACATCGTTTTTGTTTTCCAGTTTCCC